GTTCGATCACCGGTAAAGCATGCATTTGTTCTTTGTAAAGAACAAAAAATAAGTACTTACCAGCACAGTTCGTAGTGACTGTCCTAGCCATGTGGTATTCAGTCCGCAGGTCCACGACCCCTCAGTCTTATATCCGCCAAAAGTTTATAAATGCAGGCAGTGAAGTGTTTCTTGTGAATGTTTCTTGTGTCACTCTTATCATCACTTGAGCAGAGAACTGGTGTCGCCTCCTGTTGCTTTTCTAGGCAGTTTCTCCTCCTGACTGATGGGTCAAATAATGCATCCTCATCATTCCCATTTTACACTTGTTTACTGTTAAGCGGGCAGCCGCTGTGGTGTAGCGGCTAAATGCTCGCCTGGGTATCGGAAAGTCGTGGGTTCAGGGCCTGGAGGGCCTGTATGACAGCGGCTCCCAGTTCGACCAAGCCCTGAGTGGGTACCAGGTGAAGATCTTGACAGTAAAAGCGGCCGGTTAAATTCTTGCCACATCAGCCACTACAGGCTGATTGATCTGTGAAATATAGTTCTATTCCTAGGGGCCAAGTACACCTAAAGGCACGGAAAAGGACCCCGCTGTGGAGTCTTAGATTCTGGGACCCTAATTCTGTGGGGGGGGGGGGGGGGGGGGGGGGGGGGGGGGCGGGGGTGGGACATGTCGTTAAAGTCGACAGTCCACCAAACAGTGTTTTTGCCTTCGCATTTGGCTGAAAGGCGAGGAAACAAAAATAAAAATAAGCTAGATTTGTAAAAGGGATTTGCACTCAAAACTCAAGCTCTGGAACAAGAGTAAAGTTCAGAAGTGAACGAACAACCAAAACTTTCCGCCGAAATTTACAGCCGCTGAACGCGAAGAAGAAGAAGAAGAAGAAGAAGAAGAAGAAGAAGAAGAAGAAGAAGAAGAAGAAGAAGAAGAAGAAGATTTGAAGAAGAAGAAGATCAAAAAGGACGAATAAAAGTAACACGTTTCTGTGGCCGAAAGTGTTAGGAATACAAATCCCCCAAGACGGAAATCTTGGATATGCATTTTGTAATTACATGGATGTCATGAATACATAATCAGCTGCTGTACAAGTTCCTATCAGATTTGACATGCCTAACTGAATCGTATTTTCAATATGATAACAAATGGTTTGGTTGGGTGACGGTTGGGATGTCCTCCCTCCTGGTGCTACGAATCTGAAATTTGCACAGCGTCCTGTGCAGGCTACCAGCCGCCCTGCAGACAGATACCCAGCCATACTGTATAAAACCGAGCGTAATACGGACGATCCGAGCACCTTTAAACGTCATTCCACTGCCGACATCTTCATGTAACACGTCATTCAAACCAGCCATCTCAAACAAACAACCGTGGCCACAGACAGGAGGCGTGCTAGAGAACTGCTGCGATTTATGGTTCCACATTTTTGGCACCAGGTTTCTGGTTTTTGGCCTGCCTTGCCATGTTTAAATTACTTCTGCCTGGCCAGCCTCAGTGTCGTCACGACCTGGTTCTCGAATGTCGGAATGGAGCATTCTTAGAAAATTCAGAGTATTGTCTCTTTCTCTTTTCCCTGCTAACGTAATACGTTTTTTTTTTTTTAAATAGTAAAATATCGACTTCTTTGCGGGGAGGGGAAGGGGGGGGGGGTGTCCTTTGTACGTTCCAGGGCCCTGTTTTGGGGATAGAAAGAATAGTCCCGCAGCCTCTTGATAAGCATGTTTGGAAATGCGACCAGTTAGGAGTTAGCTATAATCGGATGTGATGGGCTTTAAGACGCAAGAATTGCAGCTTAGCTATAAACTGCGACGTGAAGCGCCTGTTGTTCTTTTATAGGTGAACAAAACAGAAGAAGAAAAAGAAGAGAAAAAGAAGAATAAGGAGAGCTGTAAAAATGTTTATCAATCGGTGACAAGGCAACTGAGCTGTTAGATCTTTAGTTCGTTTTCTCGAAAAATTCCTGTTATATCGCAACGTTTTTTGTGCATGCAGCCTTAGAATTTACCTGACGCAAAAATAATGTTATTCTTTAGTCCACAGATGCTCGGGATGCTGGATACCAGCCACTTCCTTTAATCTTTTCGAACCATTGTAAATAAGTGGAATGAACTTTTAGATTTTACAGTAGAAATTGGAATTTCCGGTTCAATTTTTGTCAGAGGCGTTTCTTCATAATACATTATAGTGTTACAACCGTTTTCTCTGTGCTCACGTTTCAAAGGCTAAAAACACACACAGAGGATGACATAGTCCATAAGAATATTTTACTACGATATAAATATGTATGCGCCGGACATCAAGGATACAGATATTTAAATGGATTCACGAGAATAGAATGACATGGGTCGTGCCGCTTGAAAGAGAGATCAAGAGGGGAATACAAACGGCGAACGAAATAATTGCAAATAGATTAAGAGCTTACCATTTGTGAAGAAATACAATAACATGCAGTGGCAAAAGTGAAACTCTCAGATCGCATACACTTATTGCCGAGGGATTTTCCGAAACTTTTAGTCACAGATAGCGGGTGTACAGATAGAGTAGACGTACCACTTCCCCAGGGATCAAATGTACAGCACATTGTAGGAGACATGTGTGTTGTTAAATACGTTAGTGCATTTGTCTTTAGTCTATAGGCAGGGGGGGGGGGGGGGGAGGGGGGGCACTTTTACGACAATATCTGATGTTGGAGTACCTTTACGACAGTACCTGATGTTGGAGTACCTTTACGACAATATCTGATGGAACACTTCTGCCTGGTACTATAGTATGTGACTTTGGAGCACTTTTTTCTTTTATGACAATGGCGTTATCTGATGTTGGAGCACTTTAATCCGTTACATCAGTATCTAACATTCCATGATAATATGTGACGCTGGAGCACTTTTACCTGTTACGAAAACTGAATGAGCACTTTTATCTTTTACGGCATTATCTTATATTAGAGCACTTTTACCCCTTACGACAGTATTTGACATTGAAACACTTTTACTTTCTACGACAGTGTCTGACGTTGGGGCATTTTTACCTTTTAGGGGTGCTTTATTACTATCCTACCCCAAACAGGCGTGATCACGGAACAGTCTAATATTTCAGGGGGTGCAGATAGACTGTCTGCAGTCGTGGGATCTAGACTGCATGCAGTCTTGGGACCTAGACTGCACTCTTTCGTGGGACATAGGTGGGTTAGGGTTAGGGCCAGTTGTAGATGTTTTAGGGTTGTTAAAAGCATCAGAAAGCCGGGATGCCCAGTCTTACCACCCTCTAAAATGTTGGGCTGTCATGTGACGTCATCTGGGGGGTAGAATATTATGAAAGTACCTTTTTAGGAAAAACTGACTGTTGGAGTACTTTTAACTATTAGAAAAACAGACTGTTGGAGCACTTTTGGCTTTAAAGAAAACTCACCTTGTAGCACTGTTACCCTTTAGGAAAACTGACAGTGATAATTGATAGGCGCATTAATCTTTTGTCGGGACAAGCCAGGCTTGCGTGTCCTAGTGTATTAAATTCTCTGACGTGACTTAGTGCCATTATTCTCTGGCCAGCGGGAATAATCATGGAGGATAATGGACAGACTTTTGCGACTTTCTGTTGAATCTGAGGATACGGTGCGCTCATTAATCGTTGGGCAGAGTAAGAAGAAGAGTGAAAGACCTTTTTCACGCCATTTTTCCATTGAATCATTACCACCACCATCATCATCATCAGCCACGCCCGTAAGCACAGGCCAGAGCTAGCGACCCGCGGGCCAGATCTGGCCCTCAGAGTTTTAGCAAGTGGCCCGCGAATTACCTGCCAGTTGCATGATATTTCTATGGCCAGACTGTCCGGGTATTTTATCAATTTGTCTTCCTCCCGCTCTCTTTCCATCAATCTCGCCAGTTGTTACCAACTTTCTCCATTGCTACCCGATAACTTGTTACCCGGGACCTCCAGCACTCGAGGCGGATGCCATACCTTCTCAGCCCGCAGAGCCGCAGAATGACTGTGCGGTACAGTTGTTTTATTCCCCCCCCCCCCCCCCTAAAAACAAAAATCGCATTATCGAAAAACGAGTAAAGTAAGCTGGTATATAACGAGGTCTGCATGTATTGCATTATTTAAAATGGTTACGATCGTTCTTATCACCATCATTGCTTGTATTATCTGTACTGTTATATACATCGCCATCATCATTATCATTGCCATCATCGTTTGGACTGTCTTCAGTCATGATCGTCACCACTTCTAATTTCTCTCATAATTATCGTCATAATTGCCCTCATATTTGTTTTCATGGTCTCCGGTGTTTTCGGTTTTCTTTTACCCTTAGGTAAAAGTAAAGATCCCTTTTCACGCCTTTAGGCTCATCGGGCAAATGGGAAGAGTACCCCTATTTTTACAGACCAATTAGAACTAGGTGTGTAATGTGGTCCAGCATCACGCCGGCCGTCTTTACTTCCCCAGGACATACATCATGGTAACTATTTTAAACTGGATCGACCTCCGACGCCCTATAACATGATAAAAATTCACGCAGCCAGCAGTGGGTATTGATCGCGGTACATTGGAATTACGAGTCGGACTCGCAACGCCTGAGATTTGATGTCTCAACAACGGATCAACATCTTGGCACACGGGTAGCAACCCTAAGTGCTCCGTTCTTCTTCTAACTCAAGTCTAAGTCCGAAGAAGCTCAGCACATTGCACATGCCCTGTAGCACCGGCGAGGATCCTGAAATACTTTAGGTAGATTTGTAACTCCAAATTTTGCCCAGCAGCGCCGTAAGGCTACACTTTTCGATTTCCAGCAGTCAGTATGTAAATATGTGCAACATAGCACACGGGCGTCCGATCTCACTACTCAGAGACCAGAGGAAATTACTAGCCTAGAGCTCGCTTACATTTATCGGCATGGTTATCACCATCATCATCATCATCATCAGCATTATCTGCCCACTGTAGTTTTATTATTCTTCCACACTGTCAATATAATACTTATTGGTATCATCAACATTTGCATTCTTCTTCTCTCTAGGGTAAATGCCAAAGAAAGGACCCTCCTTGTAAATACCTTCATCCACCGCAACATCTTCGGGAACAGCTGCTCCAGAACGGTCGCAACAACCTCATCCTAAAGAACCTTCAGGTGCAGGCCTACCAGACGCAATACGCCAATATCATGCCCATGGTAAGTTGTGAATAGTTGCGTTGTCCGTTTCAGTGTCACTCTCTGGTCCACCATGACTTTTTTTGTCATCATCGTTAGCAGTAACGTCATTGTAGGAAAGACAAAAGGCCACCTCTTGGCCAGAGCTGCCAATACTTGCCCCCCCCCCCCCCCCTCCCTCCCCTCCCATAATCAGGGTTTTGATATGACGCCTTGGGTTCAGATTCTAAAATTGTTTTTTTTTTTTTTTTAAATATCCGCATATAAAAGTGGGTAACGATTTCGTTTCGTAACTATAAAAAGTTTACTGCATCAATCTTGGGTTTTTGTTTTTTGCTCTTTGCTTTTTTTTTTTTTGGGGGGGTTGGGAAAAAAAAAAGGGGGATTGGGGGGGGGGGGGGGCTGGGTCAGCTGAGCTTCGATTTTGATAAAATACCATTGGAAGCCCTGCTGCTGGCATAAACAAGGCTGTCGGAGCCAGAATACTAACAGAGTGTGTATGGTTTTTGTTTATTACTGTACGTCCGCCCTTTGTTACTCGTTTACTGCATCATCTTTGTTGTTGTTGTTATGAGACTCCTTGTTATTAAAGTTTGCAATATTCGCTTGTAGGTGATGATTCAAAGGCAATCTCATGGTGTAAACGGGCAGTAATCCTTCATAGTTTTGGAGATATCAGCAAAATTGCTACTGCATAAAGGGCTGTCTTTAAAGACGTGAGCTGACCAGCATGTTACTCTGTGCCAGCGATCCCCAAACTGTGCGCAGCGGCGCCCTGGGAAGCCGCGACCTCTTCACAGGGGCGCCGTGATATATTCGAAGATACACGATTTTTTTTTTCTTAAATCTCTTACATACGAATAGTCATACGTTTCCTTGGTTAGGGCGCCGTGGGAACATTTTTATTGAAAAAAAAAAGGCGCCGCGACTAAGACAAGTTTGGGAAACGCTGCTGTACGCATAAATTTAGTTATACGTTTATTGGCGCGACCTATAAACTATAGGTGTGAATGTCAAAGAAAATAGGCACACATATAGGCGTCATGTCTTCGGAAATACGTTGGACAGATTATACAGCACGTCAGATTAGACAGAATCTGTGGTTTTCGGGAGAGGAAGCAAAGGTTGCCCAGAAAGATAGTGGACACACAGCACAAATGGCGTTCCGGGTATGGTAATGCAGGTCGGGCGAAAAATCGATATTTCTTGTGGGTTTTTTAAGAGCGGCTTCCTGCAGACGGCTTACTTCATAATGGCGATACATAAATGGATAAATATAAAGATATACGTATATGCAGATATCGGTTAGTTTTTGTTCGTTCGTTCGTTTCTGTCGGCTCTGTGGCTAAGTCGATGCGAACGCTTCGTAAAGCTGGGATGCCGGGTTCGATCCTAGCTGCGGGCCATGCGCCTTGCGTTGGTTTCGACAGTGGTATCAAGAAAGCCGACCGTCCAGAAGCAATGGGAAACTACTGGACGTAAATTTGCCTAGAAAAACCACACAATACAACAGACAGGGGCTGCTGTGGTTGGTTCTGCAACGTCCTGTAAAGGATACTCAACAACCCGTTCGTTTCTTCTTCTCCTCCTGGTGCCAGGTTATTCTTGACAGACCGCTGAACCTATTCTATTATTATGTATAAAATCGCAATAAACTGGTGTCATGTTGGTTTATGCTTAAACAACGGATCAACATCATTTCGCACGGGTGGTAACCTTTAAGTGCGCCCATAAATAGTCTTCACATTTTCTTTAGTAACTTTTTCTAATGATCACATAGATTCTAGAGTAATTTTCTTTTATTTCACCAAATCTCGTTGACTCTGAGAGTTCCAAGGAAAGTCCAGTATTATAGGGGTGGTGAGGGTTAGTGTTAGTCGGTTTTCATTTCACACTCTAGCACCCCTATACTGTTAGACTTTTCCGGTAACTCCCAACGAAGTATCGGATTCCCTGAGATGGGGTGAACTAAATGAAAAGAACCAATTTTAAAAGATGCAGTAGTCAATATTACAGTTAGTATACGAGAAATCAAGGAAGATTGGCTAATAAACAGCATCTTGTCTCTGAAGCTGAAATGCTTTGGTCATATCAAGCACCATGGTCGATTTGAAAGGTAACAACAGATGGCATGGTACCAGGAAGGAGGGGCATAGGCCGACCAACACAAAGATGGTACATGATATGACTCCTTGAATATGAAAGTACACATGACGGGAGAGCTGGCGAGAGACCGAGTTCCCCCCCCCCCCCCCCCGACAGATCGGGATGAGAGCGACGTTCTGCAAACTATCTGCTACATGATGATGATACGAGAACAAAAGATAATATAATAAAGCAGCGAATAAAAAATTGATACTACAAACCGCTGTACACCGCACCGGTCTATCACAGCAGTTCATTATATTCTGTCCACGTGCCTCTATTCTTGACTCGATACAAGCCAAACGATTTATTCCATTTTGGGGGCTGACTAATGCCCAACCTGGCACTATATTTTTATTGTCACGAATAATGCATTAATGGAATTATTATCGTGTTTGATTGAGGGTAGCGTTGTCATAATAGCTCGTCTGGTCTCTAGGGCTGTCCGCCGAAGACAAAAGGCCGCATTCATTCATTGGCATCGTCTGCCTGGTTGCTGCAGACTCACGGGCTTAAGCTAATACGTGAAGGTCGTTCGATATCCTTGTCAACTTGATAAACCAGCGCGGATGGACGGTCGGTCAACATTGTCAATAGTACTTGATGTTATTAATTTAGTATTGGTTAGCCTGTTGGGGGGGGGGGGGGGGGAAAGGGGGGAGGGTGGGTGTTTAAATAGCGCTTTATGCATTTTTGTGCCACTACAATGTTTAGGAGCCAGGAGCCGCGGCGGTAAAGTTGCTTGCCTTTCGACCCAGTATATAATCCGTTCCAAAGTCGTGCCTAACTTCTGCAACCCAGTGACCGTTTGGTATGTTAAAGTTAGTAGTATTTACCTTTACAGGACGTTGCAGAACCAACTTTAGCATTTTTTTTTTTTTTTTGCTGATTGTGTGTTTTCTTGAGGCCACAGAGATATATGGCTTTACAGAAGAATGCTTAAAAATACCTGGGACAGCCAACAAGAGCAACCAAGAGGTTTTGAAAGAGGCGGGAGCCCGATGACAACTAATCACAGACATCAGAAGAAGACAGTCATCATTTTTCGGCCATGTTATGAAAAGAGGGAAAATGGAACATGTTGTGACCAGAGGAAGGACCCGAGGAAGGAGGGGTGGAGAAAGACAACGAGAGAAGATTCTTGACAGTCTTGTTTCATGGCATGGAGGTGTGTCAGCACACGAATTGATGCATGCTGCAAAAGATCGCATATTGTGGAGAGGCATGATCTCCCACGCCAGTCGGCAAGGCATCTGATAATGATAATGATGGGTTTTCTAGACAAATTTTGCGTTCAATAGTTTGCCATTGCCTTCTGTACCACTGTCATAACCAACGCAAGACAAACCGTCCACAGCTGGGATTGAACCCGGCACCTCGGCATCACGAAGCGCGTTCGCAACGCCTAAGCCACTTACGCCGACTTTCGATGTGATTGTTAAAATTTGGCAAACGACCTGTTAACTCTTTTGGTACCAGAAGATGTTGTTTTTAATACTAAAGGTGATAACAGACACACTGAAAAAGGCACGAGTATATTACTTTCAAAAAGACAACATATACTGTGCTGTATGTTAGCATATCTAGCCAAATTTTGTTAGCACGCTGGAATCAAATGTAAAACATACAATTTCAAGCCATTCATTGTTTGATACACACTGATTATAGCTGATCACACATTGTACGTTGGTTGGGACAGAAAGAGTTAATAATCACATCTTTATAAAAAAATAATTAAAATGTAAACGATCCATTTTTTTTTAAAATTTGGCCTCATTTGCGGTATGTGAGGGAAAAAAAAAAACAAGGCACAGAAATTTGCAGTTACTGGGGTGAGTGAGAATTGCACATATTTTGGATGTTCAGGAGCGTTTCACTATCAGGTGGTCAGTCTCCAGCGTTAGCCTCCCTTGAGTTACGCGAACACAGTATTTCATTGTATGCAGGATAAGCTATGAAAATAATCACCAGGCATCGCCACACATGTGAAGTGATTTCCAAAACAGTCTCGTCGCTTGTGGTTTTAAGTAAACGATTTGTGTCGTTTACTGTATATTCTATTTTTTTTTAAAGGGGTACACAGATTATTCGTCCGACTAAGATCCAAGAAATTCGCCGCTTTGAGAAAACATTAGCGCCTGTGCAATTGTAAATTCTGAAATCACAAGCATATGGGAAATCTTAGACCACATGCAAAAATTGTTGATGATCCAAAGAGGACTCTTCCAGATGATTTTTAAACGTTTTTAGGCTGGGCTTTTGGAATGGACTATGGCGGGAAATCTTAGACCACATGCAAAAATTGTTGATGATCCAAAGAGGACTCTTCCAGATGATTTTTAAACGTTTTTAGGCTGGGCTTTTGGAATGGACTATGGCGGGAAATCTTAGACCACATGCAAAAATTGTTGATGATCCAAAGAGGACTCTTCCAGATGATTTTTAAACGTTTTTAGGCTGGCTGGGCTTTTGGAAAGGACTATGGCATTGATAATCTCAACAGCAACAACAAACGTTTTTTTTTTTTTTTCAACTTTAGTTCCAATTCAGATATCCTGTTTCCCCCGTGTGGGTTCCGGGGCCCCATTGTGGGGAAAACAAGAATAGACCCACTGCCTCCCCAGAAGCATGTCGTAAGAGTCGACTAATTGGGGAGCTTCCTTTGAAGTCGGAGTGCATCTGCCGGAGAGGCAAGGAACCAACAGTCTGTATTCAAGAGAATGAGTTCTGTAAAACTGATGCACACGTAACACTCAGGTTCTGGAGCAGGACTGCAGTTCAGTAGTGGACGAGCAACCAGAACTTTCCGCCAGAGTCTACAGATGGTGAACGCGAAGAAGAAGAAAAAGAAGGAGATATCCTGTTTGAAGATTAGTGTCCAAGCCCCGTCTCCGGCCTACGCCAGGACCCGAACCCACGACCTTCCGATCCGCAGGTCAGCGTCTAGCTGCTTGACCACGGCGGCTCCCATGTTTTTTTTAAATATTATTATAAAACATATTATTAGTGTTCTCTCTCCCTCTCTCTCACTCTCTCCCTCCTCTCTCTTCCCCCTCTCTCCCCTATCTCTCACTCTCTCCCCCTTTCTCTTTCCCCCCATTCTCTTCACCCTCTCTCGCTCTCTCCCCTCTCTCACTCACTCTCACTCACTCTCTCTCACTCTCTCTTTTTCTCTCTCTGTCTTTCCCCCTCTCTCTCTCCCCCTCTCTCACTCTCTCTCTCTTTTTTTCTCCCCTCTCTCTTTCTTTTTTTCTCCCCCTCTCTCTATCTTTCTCTCCCGCCCCCCCCCCTCTCTCTCTCTCTCTCTCTCTCTCTCTCTCTCTCTCTCTCTCTCTCTCTCTCTCACACACAGACACACACGCAGAGTGAAAATATGTGTCATGTGTGCAGACAGTTAGAACATCTCTGATGCAGATAAGTTCTTCATTGTGCTGAGAGTCCCCGTTTGTGTAACTAAACAGGGGGGGGGGGGGGGGGAATAGATAAATAAAAGCAGGGGGACTAATGGAGTATTTCAGACATCGTTGAGATGGAGCGTGGATTGCAGTAATTATTCGTCCATTAATATTGGAACCGTTATGTTTTACCTGCCTTGGTTGTTGTCCTGGGAGAGAAGTGTGCCAAATGCGGAGAAGCTCTCACGGGCCAAATGAAGGCTGTGTTTTCACAGACAATGCCGTTGGGCTGCTTCCTTTGTTCTTTGCATGTCACAGCGGATGACGTGTTCATAATGAAATTGCTAAACGGGTTATTAAGAAACAGGTAGAAGACATAAAATCGTGTTTAGAGTCTACGTAAGGATTCTTCTTTTTCTTCTCCTCCTTTTCTCCGCCTTCTCCTACTGATTCTTCTGTTACTTCATCCTTTTCTTCTTCTTCTTCTTCTTCTTCTTCTTCTTCTTCTTCTTCTTCTTCTTCTTCTTCTTCTTCTTCTTCTTCTTCTTCTTCTTCTTCTTCTTCTGCTGCTGCTGCTGCTGCTTCTGCTGCTGCTGCTGCTGCTACTGCTACTGCTGCTTTTCTTTTCTTCTTCTTCTTATTATTTTGCTCCCCTGCCCCCCCCCCCTCCTCCACCCTTCCACCATTTCCTACTATATAAGCTGCACCTTAGGTGCCGTCACAATGCTGTAATAGTAACACCAGATATTTACATGGTAGGATTAGTTCGGCTCATCATAGTTTAGTTACCAGGTATATGTAAAGTCTTATCGCGTTTCAGTCTACACCAGCAACTCCCATGCGATTGCCTTTACATCTATTGTTGTCTGGAATTATCTGTTAGATTTGTCTGTTATTGTTTACATTTCTCATGGTGTATATAGTATTTGTTACTCTCACTGAAGCAATATAATTACGTTGAATAAAATAGTAATCCCTTCACCAACGTATTGTTGTTTTGACGTATATGTTGTATTATTATTTCCACATATTTTGATGATATCATTTCACTTTTTAGTTCATCCCTTCACCAACTTATTGTCAGTTTGACATATGTGTTGTATTATTGTTTCCATATATTTTGACGATGTCAGTTCATTTTGTAGTTATGTTAATTTATAGTTTTTAGTATTTACCGTTCGTAGCTTATTGTTCAGTTTGTTGTTATGCCAGTTAAGAAAATGGCCATAAATTGGACATTTCTGTAGGAAACAGAGTATCAGCAGATGGGCACTTCAGTTGGAAGCTAATGAACCGAAGCAGCGAGGATGTTCAAAGAAACCGCAAATCAAACATTTTCTGAGAGAAGCCAAAACTGCTGGACTGGATCCACTACTTTTCCCACTCTATGCATGATGTCAGTGCGATTGGACAGGATTGAGGAATAGACTGCGAGCCCTGATTGGCACCTTTCCTTCTTTTCATACGATATGGTTATACTGACCTGTGGGAAGATGGCGACGGCCAGGGATGAAGTTCCTCCTCTCCGTAGCACAAAGTCTATGCAGTATTGTAGAGAACCATATGTTGCCCGTGCATCATGATCTCTCGCTCGACCTGCCTTGTTTGCTCCAACGGAAAGGTAACACTAGTACATTTGGAACAAAGCAGGCTGCTGAAGCTTTCGGATCAGAAGAGCAGTGCTTTATCTATCTGCCAAGGCTGGATGATGCGCTCCTGTTTCTCCACAGATCTCGGTACTTGGTATTCTAAATCACTTCCACTGATATTATTCCTCGACGCCATCGCACCAGGCCGTCAAACATCCTCTCTCCTTGATGTAGCTCTGCCTACTTATACTTTCTTATATCCCACACACCGGACTTAGGAAGACAAAAAACAGGAAAATCATGCCTGACTTTACGCCACAAAGAATAGGAAACCAAATAAGATAGCCAAGGAGCCTTCCTTCATATAGCAGGCCTCCGGGCGCCTGAAAAAGCATCACATTTAGAACTTGTGTTCATCAATTGGAATTGGAATTTCGTATTTGAGGCACACAGAAAAAAATATAATAGAACCACATTTTAATATGTAGTCGGCACTTGTGGGGGGGGGGGGGGGGGTGTGTTCAGTATCACGCTTGTCGTCTTTTTTCTCTAAGACTCTTCCGGGTACCTTTGTTTAAATGGCTTGATCGACCTAGTAGATACAGTCAAATATAACTATTCCATTCAAGTGCGAATTTGAACTCAACACTTTCTGACCGTCGGCAAACACCTGGCCACTGGCTTATCACAGCTGCTGTCAGACACATATACATATATTAACTCAGTAATTCAAATTGAAAATGAAAAGATGCCAGTATATAAATCTATTATATTCATTATATAGGTATTCCAGAAATAAGGGCCTATTGATGTCAGTAAACAGTACTAGGCAACAACCTACTAACAGTGTGACGACAAAGACTTTTATAAGCGCAAGATTAATCTAAATTAGTTTTTTAAAATTAGTTAAAAAAAAATGATAGATATGATAATCTTAACATGTTCTGCAGGTACACAGCACATAAACAAATAAACATATTATGACGAGACAGCTTTGATATGACACTCTTCAGCCACAGAAGGCGTGTTTAATATCCCGCTTCTGAGATATGAGTTAGCTTGATAACCATGTCCGCTCTGTGGCTAAGTAGAACGCTTCGTAATGCCGATGTGCCGGGTTCGATCCCAGCTGCGGGCCATGCGCCTTGCGTTGGTTTCGACAGTGGTATCAGGGGGCCAACCGTACAGGAGCCACGGCAAACTACTGGACGTAATTTGCCTAGAGAAACCACACAACAATCAGGAGCTTGGTTCTGCAACGTCCTGTAAAGATACACAACTAACATGTTGATAACCATAAGAGTTACAGACACAGCTGTTTGTCACTTCGGCTAAAAGAGTTGGTCAAATGAATCACGATTAATTTTATATGTTTACAATCCAGACTTGATAAGGAGAACTCATCAGGGAGCCAAGAAATAGTTCTTTTAATCAGAAATTCCTTTTATCCATATAAGAGTTCAAGCATATGACAATTGCCGCGGATAAACAAATTGTTCTTGACAACAGGATTTCGCCACATCCGAGTTCACCTTAAGCGGTCAGCACCGTATAACGAAACTGTTAGAAAATGTAGTCACCTGCTACTTTCATTGTTGTGTACACATGTGTGTTTATTTATTTGACAGCACAATACCCCCACTTTCCAGCAGCACGATTTGCATTTGTAGTGTTCAGCACAAAATATTGATTATGTGTTGTTGTTTCTTTGATTTTCCATGTTGATACTAATCGCCCTGCATGTTTCTCTTTTTACTTTTATTGGCGTATGAGCCGGGAGCGAAGACAGTAACCATGTCAGCTGTAATGCCCGGACAGTACTCATATTTGGTCAGTTCCTTCTGTGTTTTTTAAATAACTGTAATTGTCTGTCTGTTTATCTGTCTGTCCACCATCTAGCTGTCTGTATATCAGTCTTGCCTGCCTCTTTCTTTGTCATACGCTCACTAACTGCCCATCCATCCATTCACCCATCCATTTTCCATTTGTCTGTCTATTATATTATGTTATTGCCTTGCAGAGTCTGTCGACATATGTTGTGACTCACCATGTCTGTCTACACTCTTCGGTATCGCCTATCATCACACATTTCTTGTCTATATGTTTCTGATAATTGTCGGTCTAAGTCTAGTTAACTGACATTGTTTACCTTTATTTCTAACTCCCACTTATTTATGTTGCTGTACAAACAGGTGCTTTCATCGCCTCCTATCAGTGCTAATTATTCACTGGCGTTGTCTCTCTCCCGGGGGGACTGGTCACACAGCAGCTGCCCCTTGCCACTTCCCCCTCCCACGTGCTGTCTATCTCGGCTCGGGCCTCTCCACTTCCTCCAAATCTTACTGGTGTTCGCTACTTCCTTCGCTCACTCTCCACACTACACACTTTCTCTACCCACATAAGCTGTCTCTTTTTCCCTACTCTCCATCTCTTTTTCCCTACACACTCTCTCTCTCTCTCCCTCCACCCGCATCTTTTAGTAAGATTACCATCTCTTCTGTTATACTAACAATTATGGTTGCTCTTGTCTGACACACCTTAGTGTGCTTGCAGCTTGCCGAGATCTTGTCCCACCCCACCTAACAATTTATTCTCACTAAACCACCCCCAAGGGGAGTCGCCGTGGCAGTGCGGGTAGACACGAGCCGCGGATCGGAAGGTCGTGGGTTGGCTCCCTGGCGGAGCCGGACTTTTCTTCAAAAAATGACCTTGGCTTACAGGCCGACCCAGCCTTGAGTGGGTACCGGGTACAGTCCCGGGAAGTAGAAGCGGCCAGCGTGATGCTGACCGCATCACCCATCTTGTGCCGTTGGTCTATAAAATATAGGTCTAGTCCTATATGCCCTATACGCCTAAAGACGTGGAAAAGGGTCATTTACTTTACTTAACTAAAACCACCCCCAAAACTTCAGACATACAACAGAGTTAAACCTGTATGGATTGTTTCTGACGCCAGCGCACCCACACACATTGTATGCTAGTTTTAGCCGACAGTACCTCCTCCATGCTGGTTCCGGGACCCAGTTCTTGGGGGGAAGGGGGGGGGGGGAGAGAGACCCACTGCCTGCTAACAGGCATGTGGTAAAAGGCGACAATGTATGGGTGTGTCCTTTGAAGTCGGAGTGCTTCTGCCTGTGATGCAGGGAACAAACAGTATGCATATAAATAAGCCAGTTTTGCAAAATGGATGTGCACGCAAAAGATAGAAGAACACAATACAACATAGCACTAGCCACCTTAACAGGAAGAAAGAAAAGACGCGTATAAATACAAGCAAACATTTCGACACAGAGCGTGGCATGGTAAGCCGCTCTAGAAAATAGTCCCCGGGGCATTGTGCCTTGATATAACATATTTTAACTATTAGAATGTAACTGAAACCCTATCTTTCCAGTCTGTGACATCGCAAGCATTCCTACTTTTATTGATCGCTGTGTTTAACCTTTAGCTCATTTCGCTACTAATAACACGCTTTTCTAGTACTCATTTTTTAAACTTGTTTTTCTTGTTTCCTTGTAGTCTTTATCCCATTTTACCAGTTCTCAGCTCTCCACCCAACCCTCCCCCCTACCCATTTCTTATCTATATTTAACTCATATGCTAACGTGCCTTTTAAATTTTCTAACTGCATACGCCTAGGCATGCACTACCACGCTGCTTCGATTGACATCTTCTCCCTGCCAGCTCCCTGTCTAATGTTTCCTAACATTAAAAAAAATGTTTCAACCGCTTTCGCTTGAGGCAACGGAACAAATCCGCAAATGAGCTGCATTTGTTCCTAGTCGATATATTGATGAAAAATATTCCACAAAAAGATATTTTAATCTTCTTTATTTCATTCTCTCTACTTTTCTTTATAACATTTAGCATACACTTTCGTATTTTAGATGTATGGGTATTTTTGAAAATAACGAAAAGAAAGACTAGAATAACGTTAAATCTTTCTTCTTTACCTACTCCCTCCCTCCCTCCCTCCCTCGAAAATATATCTGAGACAGCTAAAAACTGGCGGCATATTACATACACTGAAGACATTTTAAGCGAGGGTAATTTTAACTTGGAGTTTTCTTTGTTTTGATTCGTTTCCTTATCTGCAGTTTCGATCATAATGTCTGCAGGAGATGCGGAAATAGAATAAGTAAAAAGTTAGAATCGAAGGGACACGTAACAATATAATTTAGCAAAGAGGTGCGTAGATAGAGGAAATAATAGACAGACACGTGTTTGTAAAACGGATGGGGTGAATAACATTGATGCTGGATGGGTGAACGGGTAAAAAAAAAAAAAAAAGGTATTCTGCAGGCAAATGAACAGAAGGGGAGATAGTGATTTATAGACAGACAGAATAGGTATATGGATTGAAAAAAAAGGACTATTTTCAACACAGTGGCACACTGGACACGTGATGTTAGGTCCATATTTTCATAGACTGATTGGCGCTCAAATGGTGATGTGGTCAACCACGGCCAGCTCCAGATTTATATACATATGCAGCCGGACGTGGGTCACCATAGTCCCGACCCTCTTGTTTCTTAAGAAATGTTCCTATACCCATGTTAGACTAGATCGGCATGGGACCCAAAGAATCAATTTTTAAACTCATAGCTGAAAACACTGTCGGTCGACCACATGCAGAGGACAGTAATGAGTCGACATAAACACGCACGCTCAGGCGCCCGCGCGCACACACAACAGCAGCAGTGTCCCTCAGGTCATGATCACAAGAGGATAACACGTATAGCTGGTACCTTATCTACAGACATTCTTCCCATCCCTCATGGTTCTAGATCACTGGCTCTCAACCTTCATAATGCCGCGATCCTTTGATACAGGTCCTCATGTTGTGACGACCCCCCAGCCATAGAATTGATTTCATTGATACTTCATAACTTCAGTGAATATGTGTTTTCCGACGACGGTCTCAGGCGAAATGGTCGTTCGACCCACTAAGCTAACCAGGTCGACAGATGCCTGCGGAAGTCGGCTGTGTGTCCACCGAAAGGCGCAGATATCGCAGCCATGCGGTGAACGGGCACAACGCAGTTCATCCTCGGATGAACGAAGAAGAAGAGGAAATCTCAAAACACATCCATGTCATTGGCCTTATGGGTCCCACTCCCCCCTTTTTTTTTAACTCCAGAAAAAAAGTACTCGTCACTCGCTTCTGTTATAGTAAAGCGGTCGGTGGGGGGGGGGGGGGGGGGGCGTGCGATAATCAATTAGGAATGCTGAGATTTCTCACTGTCAAGTGCTAAAATAGAAGAAGAAGAAAAAAATCTGATTCGAATTATTTTTAAACCTGCTATTTGTGCTTGCTTTGTTTTATGCTGACTGTTTATCATGCTTCCGTTGTTGCTTTTTTTTCCCTTGGCTCTGTTTCAACCAATTTAGGACCAGGCAACTCACCCTGCTGTGTGGGTTTCAACTAACATGATATTCATGTCTGAACATCTTGAGACCCTTCCAGATGTTACCTCCCCAAACCCCGCCAATTTGTTCATTTAACTCCTTCTGTCCTAAAGTGCTAGAATTTTGCTTGAGACATTCTAGATGTTGCACTCATCCCACTCATTCCCCATTTGTTCATTTAACTCCTTCTGCTAGACTTTTAACTCCCATGTACCCACACCTTTATTATGTGAAAGTACATTTGTTTCTAACTTCATTCTCCAGCTCTCTTCTCCATATGTTTTTTGGCCTTCCTTTATTCTTACTTCCATTGCTCTCCCTATATCATAGAGATTTCTAACATTCCAGGTGCCAATTCTGGAGGTTTTCCTAACTGAGAGGAGGTACGTCGAAGATCTGGACTCCTTACGGCTTTCTCCACACCGTGTCATACTTCTTCTATTTGAAGAGCCTCCCCTCATCTTGGTTGACTGGGTTTTACTTGCTTCTCTTAACTTATCCATGGTTGGTTAGTTTTTGTGGCTATGGTTTTTACAGGATGAGGTAGCCAACTTCAAGCCCAACCCTACCCTCAGTGGCCTCTTACGACAAGAACTTACTTGGTACTGAAGTTACTTTCAGTACATTTAAATAGTGACCACAGTCAGTTGTTAACAAGCTGTAAGAGTATTAGGGGGAAATCTCCTACAGCAGGGGTTCTCATGCTGTGGTTCAGCATACTTAGAACGATGATTTCAGAGACGATATGTTCATAATTACGGGCTGAGGTGTGCATATTTTTTAATGAACCCTAGGAATTTGGCCTTGGATGCAAAGCATCATGAGCTAGGAATATTGCGGGGGTCAGAACTAAGTCAGTTCATGCGATTATTACATTTATTTATATTCTGTTATATTATAAATTATATTATCCTTAAATTGAATTGAGTTCAATTAAAACTAAGAACTCACATGACAGCAAGTGGGGTGTTTCCAAAAACACTTTGCATTAGCTGTAGTCTTCATTCTTTGTGAAGAAATCATGTCTTTAATGTTCTCAGTCATCTTTATGACACTTTTTGTTTTAATCCTTTATTTTAGCTCTTTTTAGTAAATATGTTATTAATACAGTTACCATGCATTCTTCACCCCTTTACTTCTCCCACAAAGCTCTGTGTTAGTGGTTTCGTATATCCTTTAAATCCCTTCTGTTCTTTGTACAACCGCTTTGTATTGGTCTTTGACCGTATGGTTATCGTACCACTGAGAAAGCAATGGTGAATTACTGAACCTAAAATTGACAAGTAAAATATGTGGGGAGTGGTTTCCGTGTCCTGAAGAGAATATGATGTTGCTTTTAACTTTTATTCTCTGTAGTTGTATTTTGAATTACTAAAATAGTTATATAAATAAATGTTATGACTAACTCGGTGTCCGTGGCT